AATATATATTATATAATATATAAAATCTTGATGAAATAAATATTATCATTTTTTATTTCTTATCGTTTGATTTAGTGATAAAAATTATTATAAATACAATACGAATTTGCAAAGTTACAGCTTTCTTGACAAATTTTATTTATTTCAAGTACAATAGATTTATTGTTAATTGTGATTAATAAAAGTAAGAAAGAAGATTTTATTATATATAATGATTTTATTATTATAAATAAAACTTTGTAGCAAATTATTATACATAATTGTATAACAAAAATAATATGCAAAAAATCCTTAAACTTTCTAAAACTTTCTAAATCCTTAAAAATTCTAAAACTTTTATGAATCATTATATGTTGTAATGCACAAGAGTATAAAAAATACTATTTTGTAACTATTAATAATTCGAGAATGAAAGGAAAAAATGAATTTTTGGAGCGTTTTATTATCATTACGATATATTCATAGAGCGTATTATTATGATATATTGAACAAGAAATTAGTTCCGAATAATGTAGACATAGCTAATTTTCAATCACATCGTAATTATTTTTTACAACATTGCGTCATATTTTGTGAATACTTGCAAATTTCCAGCATACCGGCACATGGAAAAGGAACAATAATTCATCAGGCTTCGGCAGTACCGGTTCCTTCAACGCCAATAACAGCACGATGAGTCTCGAGGCATTAAATGGTGGGCTGACAGAATCCTTGGCGCAAAGTCCGACGTCGATCTCGCCAGAGGTGCGAGTGAAATTGATCAAGCCGAAGAGCCTAATCGAGAGGGCGAGAATGAACGTCAGCTGGCTGGATTCCTCCCTGTCCATCATGGAACAGGGTATCCGCGAATTCGACACACTTAGACTGAAGTTCAAATTCTACTCTTTCTATGATCTGAATCCGAAAACCGATGCAGTACGCATCAACATGATTTATGAGCAAGCCAAGTGGCAATTGCTCGCAGAGGAAATCGACTGCACCGAAGAAGAGATGCTGATGTTCGCGGCGCTTCAGGTATTCAAACATTGTATTTTTTAAATTTTAAATCAACACATTGATTAATGATTATATTAGGAGCAGTGATTAAAATTCTTAAAACGTTTGTAGAAAATGTTTATACTATTAAATGACATAGACGGTTAGAGATAACAACATAAACAAATGTGCTCTTCGATACAGTACATGACAGTCTTAGTAATCGTAAGTTACATAATAATTTATCACATTATTCTTATAATAATAGAAATTCTATTATGTCGCACGTAATAAAATATATAAAACTCACTGAACAGGCAACGCATTAAACGTTTGCAGAATTATTTAAATAAAACAATTCGAATAGAATTTTGATTTTGAATAAGTTACGAAATGCATTCCATATTCTCAAAATTTTTTTTGTTGAAATCTACAAAATCATATAAAATCCATTTGAATTCCAATTGTCCCACCTTCCACAAGAATCAACATGAAAATTTGCTTATAAATATATGATAAATGCAAATGTATCGTGCAGGCGCGGCGGATAGAGACATTAGAATATTCTCTAATGTCTCTATCCGCCGCGCTACGTATCTCGGTTTTTGATTCTTTCCATTCTTTGTAACTATACGATTCACAGTGCTGGTTCGGTTCTCGCCCATCTTAATATATTTATGCCGCTCTATTGCGAGGGATAAACCCCACGCGACGCATAATCATGCAAATAGCCGCGTCCTTGAACCGTTTGCTTCGCCAGCCGATGTTCCACCATAGTCGTCATGCGACAAACGACCAAGAAAAGATGTGATCATCTTGCCTCGACCCACAAAATATGTTTTGTACTTACTGTCCCCGTCCTCACAATGATGAACAGAGAGGAAAGAATGAAAGAAAAAAATTACAATTGATGTTACCTGCGCTTCTCCGTTACAGGTACAAGTGAATCTTCAGGCGAGCGTACCGCAGCCCACGTACGATAGCAACGGAGCAACTTCGCCCGTTGAAGATGATATCGATGCGGCCTTGACGGATCTACAGGTGACCCTGGAAGGCAGCAACATCAGCAACGGGCCCAGTGATATCACGCAAGTGCCCGAGCTCTGTGACGAGTTGCGTTTCTTTAAACCGAAACGTTTCACATTGAAGGCCTTCAAACGTTATTGGTTTACATGCCGCGATCTCCAGCTCAGGCTCTACAAGAGCAGGGAGGAGGCAGGCGGCTCGGAGTCGCCAGTCTACGTGATCAATTTGCGCGGCTGCGAGGTCACGCCGGATGTGCATTTGTCGCAAGGTCGCTATGGAATCAGACTGGAGGTTCCCAGTGCCGAAGGCATGACTGAGATGTGGATAAGATGCGACAATGTAAGTGGTTTAATTTGAGTTAACGTGGTGTACCGTTGTCAACATTATTAAATTAATCATTCTTAAACGTACATTAATACTTGCCATATATTGGCGTTTGGCCACACGTCAACAAATATTGTTAATACACGTTGCGTCGAAAGTTCTCACAAGTTTAAGCTTCACAAAATGAAAACTATAAGGCTGTGTTCCAAAATTCACCGGCAGTACTGAAAATCTAGTAACGTAAGAAAATTTACTGCATGTAATCTAGTAACGTAAAAACGATAGGATTTTCAGCGCTGATAGTGAATTTTGGAACACAATCTAAATATTAGAATCTGATTCAATATACAAATATTCGCATTTGAGCTTGATTCTATTATCATTTTTTATCATTCCAGGAACAACAATATGCAAAATGGATGGCCGCGTGCAGATTAGCAGCTAAAGGCCGTACTCTCGCCGACGCATCTTACGAGAGCGAGGTCAACAGTATCACAGCTTTCCTACAACTGCAGAGACCCGCGCCCGCGCCAGCCATCAATCCGAATGCTTTGGATATTGTACCGGAAGACTATGTCGCGCCTCGATTCGCGAAGAAATTCAAAGGAAAGGTAATAAATCGTTCGCATTCAAATAAATCTTCATGATTGAATAATCAAATAATGAATTATCACTGTATTGATACTTCTTTTCTTCTCGTAGTTAGTTCAAAGGATCTTGGAAGCACACGCGAACGTTAAAGACCTACCCCTTGTTGAGGCGAAGCTGAATTATATCAAAGCTTGGCAGTCTTTGCCGGAATATGGTATCTCGCTCTTCGTCGTGCGATTTACTGGTAAGAGCAAGGATGAGTTACTAGGTATCGCTAATAACAGGCTAATGCGGATGGACCTTCACACTGGCGATCATTTAAAAACTTGGAGGTATAATACTATGAAGGTATGTATTCATTTACGTGTTCTCTCCTATAGATTTTAATTTATGAATATTCCTTTAATTTGACAAAAATATAATGTCGAAAATCGAAAAGTGACAATAAATAAATATTTTTGCACAGAAAATTTGAAATTGACTAAAATCTGTAATTTAAAAACTTAGTAAAGAATATATCTCTGAATACAAGATGAAAGTGAACGATCTCTTTTACAGGCGTGGAATGTTAACTGGGAAGTAAAGCATATGATGGTACAATTCGAAGAAGAGAATATCATTTTTGAATGCCAATCAGCGGATTGCAAAGTTGTCCATGAATTCATAGGAGGCTACATTTTTTTGTCGATGCGTTCGAAGGAGGCGAATCAAACATTGAACGAAGACTTGTTCCACAAATTGACTGGTGGATGGGCTTAATTCAATACTGCAATGAGTGCATGAACCGAAACGGGTTCTAACATTCTGAGATGATGAGATGCGTTCTGAGCATACATCGCGCTCGTTATGTGCCTGTTCAAGGTCCGACGTTTTTGCATGCTAGTACATTTGTAAAAATACTTAAATCTGGTCGTATTTATCACATTTTAACACTAATATGCTGTAAATAAAATATTTTGTCCTTTCTATGCGCGAGCGGAAGAGTTTTAGCGATTAGTTATTTTTATTCGACAGGAGGCTACTTCAGAATGTTTATCAATATGTTTACCTTATTTACAAGGTATACTAACAATGTTGACAACCATTATAATCATGGCCTCTTTTCCAGGAAAAAATAATCCGTTTTCTATATTTACAATAATTTTATAAATAGATGTTTCTGAACTATTTTACAAAGATATACTTTTATACGAAACTTTTTCTACTTAGAGGAATCTATCGCCTTGAATAAATATCGAATTTAGGAACAAATACATCAAGTCTGCACAAATAAAAAAATCTACAAAACATATCGTGGTATTAGGCAACACTTTGTAACAAAGAAAAAAAAATCGATTTTAATCCTTTAAGGAAGCATGAAATCACATAGAATAAAACCGTCCATGGTTCATATACGGCCGTAAATCTTGAAAATTCAATTAGCGATTTTTTTTATGTCTAGAGACTTATTTCTTAATCCTTCCTCTCATAATGCGTGTCAGTGTCCTCTTCAGTATCCCAAGGTGCTATACTAACCGAGCTCGACTTTACAACGCAAGAGATCGAATCGTGTAAATTATTTGTTATTTTAATGTAAATTAGATATAGAAGAAGAAATATATCATCTGTATCTTTATATATTATATTCATAGGAGATATCCCGTTATATGTGTATGTAACCAAAAAAAGTATAGTTTTGTATATTACTAGGCAGTAACTGTACAATAAACTTATTAATGTATTTGACAAATGTTTTAATTTCTATTCTGTATCTACCGTGCCATGAAATTGACAGCATATGATAATCGGACAATTTGTAGAAAAATATAGAAATTAATTATTGAATAACATTTAACATTAATCGATTAAATTTTCCTCGTATTCGACATTTATATCGAATTGTTATAATCTTTATTTAGCAACAATACGTTAACATCCGTGTAAGTTTCATTGATCATGCACTCAAATAGAAAATTAAAAAATATATTAATAAAGACAAGTGTAAACGTCTTCAAAAACGATAGTTTGAAATTGTTAGTCACATAATCTCATATTTTGATTATATAGCTTGTCAATGTATCGATTGATTCTTTTTGCGAATCTTCTTATCCCACGATGATAGGCTGTGGATCTTTCCTTGAGGTATTTACCATCTTCGAGGACGGTTGAGTCTGATTTTCCGAATTTTTTAATGCGGGTTGTGCCCTCGTTACGACAGGTACGTTTCCGGTTCCCGACCCGCCTAGGTTACCGCCTCCACACATCTAATTGCATAGGCAACAAATCGTTACGCTTCTTCAAAATAATTATTGCATGGAATGTTGCAATTATTCCTCGGACTTATTGTAAATTCCATGAATAATTGCTCGTTCAAAAATAAACTAATTCTTTATAATTTTATGCGAAAATTCTTTGTTTAGGAACCTTGACTGTCTATTGCAAATGTCACTCATCAAGATTCCTGGTTTCTTACTGAAGGTGAATCGGATTATGACAAAGTAATGTAAATTTATCTTTACACATCAAGATAAAGTAGTCTTTCTTACAGATTGTAACTATTACATTTTTCAGAATATATTGAGAACTTTTTTCTAATTGGATTAATAGATAACTGTAATAAATTGTTTTAAGTTACAATTTTATTAAAGATTTGTAAATTGAATTATATATTTACTTATTATCGAAAAACAAATAAAAAAAGGAAATCCTTGTACATTTTATATATCAATTTTCTAATATAAAAACTTATTAAAGAAATTATTGAAGATTTGTATACAAAAAAAGCTTATATATAATATATAAAAAATTCGTATAATTTCTCGCTTTTGTCGACATAATCCACTGTAGATACCAAGAACCTTGAATGTATGCTACTATTATATTGTACTATTATATTGTAACCGGAGTATGACTCGGCGGCGCTGAATGGACGAGCCTTCCGGCAAGGAAGCCTGTTCTATCCTTCCTTGCTCTCACCCACTCGTGACCCAGCACCCTCTCGAGCGTAAGTCTGAGAGTGATGTCCGGCTCGAGGATCTGCCGGACGATGTTCTTTGCCAGCGTGGACACGGTGTCACGGACGCGGGACCTGAACACCCAATTGCGCGATATCTGATCTTTGAGGAGCTTCGGTAGATTCTCGTCGTCGAACGGCATCGTTCCGTTCAACATGATGAAGAGGATAATACCGAGCGACCAAACGTCCGCCAATTTTGGATTGTACGGAGTACCGGCGACGACCTCCGGCGCGGCATAGGCCGCTGAACCGCAGTATGTTTGGCTGAGAACCCGCCTGCCCTCATGGTCCATGCAGAACCTGGCAAAACCAAAGTCCGCCAGTTTCACATTGAACTTGCGCGAGAGCAATATGTTCTCGCACTTGAGATCCCGATGGGCGATATTCTTGCTGTGCAGGTAGTGCAAGCCGGACGCCATCTGACGAAACCACAGTCGCGACTGTTGTTCCGGCACTACGCCGTTGCTCTTCACGAAATCCAGAAGATCGCCATTATCGGCATAGCGCATGAAAATGAAGACGCGCGGACCACGTTGTAGAATGCTGTGCACCTGTGCTCGACCGGATGATGCGTTAATGGCAGAATGAATTGGACAATTACTATAATCATATTAAAATTGATTCTTTATCGCCCACATAACTTTATTACAATAAAGTTCCAAGAATCTCCTCTCTGTCGTACTTGAAGTTATTTTCAATTAAGTTCTATTTTATTCCGTTAAGTTCTATTTTATTCATTTGTATTATAAAATAATGATGTAAACTATGTTTGCTCGTTTGAGAGAGGATTGCTGATTGAAGATTCTTGATCTTAGTCAGTTTTGAAAGAAAAGAGAAAAAGTATGTAACATGAATTTTCACCAGAATTGTTCCTCTTTTATCAATCACGAGATGAAGAGATTTTTCTAGTTATTCTTACTTGAATGATATGCGGATTTTCTATCTTTGTTAAAATCTCAAGCTCGCGGGGAAAGAACTTGTCTAAGAAATCGTCTGGCGCTTTCTCTTTATCAAAGATCTTACAAGCCAGACGCATCTTTTTCGAGCTCGATCCATCAATATACTCTGCCAAATGGACGGTTGCGTAAGAGCCCTGAAAGAGATGTCTAATTTAAAAAATGAATATTCCCATCTCGTAGTTTTGTACAATATAATAACACAAAGAATCTTTTAACTTGATCTATCTCATGGAGCCTATAAATAAATATAAATTAAGAAAAGAATCAAGAGATTAATTAAATGATGGTTGAAATGAATCACTATCAAAAGAGAGACAAATAAAAAGGAGATCTTCCTATATTTTGCATTATATAAATTGAAGAAAGCGCTAGCTACAGTGAAAACGGGTGAAGACGCAGAAAGAAGATAGTGTGAAATGTTGAAAGGAATGAAAAACAAATGGAAATGATAAACAACCTGTCCAATCTTCTTGCCTATAAGATAGCCTCGCTGCTCAAGAGCGTTCACCTCCGAGTTTCGAGGGCTGAGTCGCTTGGCCATGCCAATGATCCTTCATCGACCCCTCATCACTGACCCTTCCCCTTCCGAGGACGGGCAGTTAGTTGAGTCTTCGATTGTCTTCTCACCCCGACAAGTGGGAAATGCTTACAGGCTTCACTGAGAATTTCTCTATCTTGCTCCGTTCGCGTTCACGCGCGTTATTTCTCGGTCGGCAATGGCAAGTTTCGTTGACGCAATTTTAGCGGTACACGAAGCATCACCGAGTACCACAATGGAATGATGTCTCACTACTACGTCGACGTTTACGGCGACAATGCGGATCCGTTCGGTCATTTGAGGCGATTGCGAGCACTAGAATTTTGGACCAGCTTGTGCCTGGTGCAACGGAAGGAAGGTAAGGATCTGCGTCTCATTCGAGCGCAGCCATTATATTTGGAAGTGAAAAACAATCAACGCGTGAGATCGATTATGCGTGCGGATCTCTGATAACTTCTCACCACAGTCGCGCAAATCAATCTTTAGACGATGTTTGCCGGTTACTCCATTCTTTTCCACAGCACATTTTATCCAAGAGATATTCTGGAAACATTCTTAAGACATAGGAATATCATCTGGATATTTTTAGGATTCTTGGCGATCGATGCTATATATTCGTACAAAAAACACATTATTGCTATTAATTTCGTTTAAGTTGCGTGATTTACTTCATTACTTGTAACTACATTCTTCAAGAATATTGATACAAGACTATCATAATTTTCAATCGTTCATTATATGATTTTATATTCATAAATAAAAAAGAAAAGAGTGAAGTGTCACAAAAAGAATAAAAGTTAAATTAAATGGACAATGTCCTGGAGTGGATAACAAAAATTGAATAAGAATAAACATGAGAACAAATTTATATTATTAAATACATGCGCACAATATTATTAAATAAAAGTTTATACATGCGCAATAAAAAAATTGTATAATCTCTCAGATTGAAGAAAAATCAACAATCCATAAAATTCCATATTACTTGTATATAAAAAATTACAGAAAAATTTATTAAACGTTATACATGAACCTTACTTTTATGTGGATGCATTAATAACTACGTCCGAAAAGTGTATAAAATTTCGGCTTATTTTTGCAACTATGGTGAATACATTTTAATTCATTGAGTGGTCTTGTCATTTCTGGCTGATCAAATGGTATACACAGACTCTTGGCGCCCATTAATGATCCACTTTCTGCGCTTTCACTATAATTATCATAAAATAAAAAATTTAAATTGAGAGAATAAAAAAGGAAAGATTGCTATTCAATATAATTCAAGTACATTACTTATATGTAGTTACTTTTCTCAAAACTAAATTAAATAAGTTCAGATATTTTTTTAATAAAACTCTAATTCACGTTTAAATTTTCAAATAGTAATATAAAGAAAAAATAATTTACGATACAAAGTCATTCAAACTAACGTAAATTCAAAATATGTAAAATATACAATTTATTTTTTTAATTATAAAATATAAAATATGTAAAATATATAATTTACTTTTTTAAAAATTTGTTTTAAATCGATGTTTTAATAATTTCCAAGTGCACCTTTTTTCTTAAATAATGATAAGCAACATATAGAAACATACAAATTTTATTTTATATATAAAAGAAGGAATTTACCTTTTATCTTCCTTACTATCCTCCTTAATCTTATCTTCACATGCTGGATCTCCACAAAAAGGTGCCAACAATAAATTCTTTTTATTAAGCTCGGGGTTAAAATCACTCCACTTTTCTACTTTTTTAATATGCTCGTTTAACTTGCTTTTCGCTCTATAAACAAACAGATGAAATTATTACTCATATATATTATTACTCATATACATTATAATAAATGCTAAGCGATTTTTTAGCAATACCTTGATAATAATTGTTTTTGAACATCATTCAATATTGAAGTTAACGGAGTAATTATGTTATCGTTGTATATTTCGATAGCTGTTCGCTGAAAATTATCCCTTCGTACGACTGTTACTTGATTTTTTAATAAATCCTTTGGACCCACTTCAAGTCTTATTGGCACGCCTTTCAGCTCCCAGTGATTGAATTTCCATCCAGGTGTTCGATTAAGTCTACAATCATTTTTTACTCTAAATTTACCTTCTTGACCCAAATGACGAACTAGCCAATCGCATTTCTTTAGAATATTCTCTTTTGTGTGTTCATCCATGTTCACGGCTATACCGCAGGGAATCACAATGATTTGTATAGGTGCTATATTTGGGGGCAATACTAAACCTCGATCATCTCCGTGTACCTAAATAAATATTTGTTACAAAAGAATCTACATAAAATATAATCATACATTGTCTACACACATGACGATGAATAATTGTACTGACCATTATCATGACTCCAATCGTTCGTGTAGTTAAACCCCATGAATTTTGATAGACAAATGTCTTTTCTTCTCGACCTGCGATACCTTCTACTTGGATATTAAACATCTTCGAAAAGTTTTGTCCTAAATAATGGCTTGTCGCTCCCTGTATTGCGCGACCATTAATCGGAATAAACGCTTCGACAGTAGTGGTATATTCGCCACCCGCGAATTTCTCCTTTTCAGTCTTGCGGCCTTTGATGACGGGTACCGCTAATAAATTCTCGTACACCCTAGCATATAAGTCTAAAATCATTAATACTTCCGCCTCTGCTTCTGCTTTAGTAGCAAACGCGGTATGCCCTTCCTGCCATAAAAATTCTCTAGTGCGTAAGAAAGGTTTAGGATCTTTAAATTCCCATCTCTGTAAACAATAAATAAAATAATTAAAATGGAGTGGAATTAAAACAAGGAAAAAATACCAATCACAATAAATAGCATTTACCACAACGTTATTCCACTGATTGAGCCTAAGTGGTAACTCGGTATCTGACCTCAGCCATTTGGCATAAGCTGGATACATAATAGTCTCCGAGGTGGGCCGTATAGCTATGGGCTCCGCCAAATCGGTTTCACCATATTTTGTCACCCACGCGACTTCCGGCGCAAAGTCTGCTATGTGCGCTTTTTCCTTTTCTAATACGCTGCGAGTAACGAAGATCGGGAAGTAGCATTCTTGAACGCCAGTGTCCGTTATCTCTTTGTCGATGAACTCTTTTATTATCTTCCAAATCGAGAAACTCCACGGACGAAGAATATAACATCCTGACACGTCATAATATTCAATCATTCCGCTTTTCGTAATAACTTGCGAGTACCAATCAGTAAAGTTCTCTTCCTTCTTCGCTTCTAATCCTAATCTTGTTCCTGTTTTGCTTGAATCAGAGTCCTTATTATTCGCGTTTTTTGCAACTTCTTTCTCCGACATCTTTTCAGGCTTAGAAATATTTTGCTTTTCCTTTTTTGATGCCGCATCCGAGTTCACAGGCTTCCAATCTTGACCAGTTAGATTTTTATAGTCACTTTTCAAACTTAAAAGAACTTTCACTTCTTGATCAATAATGCTCTTGTCAGCTTTTGAGCTTTTTAAATTTCGTATTTTGTCGCCTTGCTTCTTTATTTCTTCGGATATTTTCTCCGCTTCTGAAATGTCTTGGTTTTCTGGCTTTGTCTTGCTCTCAGTACTAGCAACTTTAGTATCAGCTGGTTTCCAATCCTGACCAGTCGTATTTTTATAATCACTTTTCAAGCTTAAGAGAACTTTCACTTCTTGATCAATAATGCTCTTGTCAGCTTTTGAGCTTTTTAAATTTCGTATTTTGTCGCCTTGCTTCTTTATTTCTTCGGATATTTTCTCCGCTTCTGAAATGTCTTGGTTTTCTGACTTTGTCTTGCTCTCAGTACTAGCAACTTTAGTATCAGCTGGTTTCCAATCCTGACCAGTCGTATTTTTATAATCACTTTTCAAGCTTAAGAGAACTTTCACTTCTTGATCAATAATGCTCTTGTCAGCTTTTGAGCTTTTTAAATTTCGTATTTTGTCGCCTTGCTTCTTTATTTCTTCGGATATTTTCTCCGCTTCTGAAATGTCTTGGTTTTCTGACTTTGTCTTGCTCTCAGTACTAGCAACTTTAGTATCAGCTGGTTTCCAATCCTGACCAGTCGTATTTTTATAATCACTTTTCAAGCTTAAGAGAACTTTCACTTCTTGATCAATAATGCTCTTGTCAGCTTTTGAGCTTTTTAAATTTCGTATTTTGTCGCCTTGCTTCTTTATTTCTTCGGATATTTTCTCCGCTTCTGAAATGTCTTGGTTTTCTGACTTTGTCTTGCTCTCAGTACTAGCAACTTTAGTATCAGCTGGTTTCCAATCCTGACCAGTCGTATTTTTATAATCACTTTTCAAGCTTAAGAGAACTTTCACTTCTTGATCAATAATACTCTTGTCAGCTTTTGAGCTTTTTAAATTTCGTATTTTGTCGCCTTGCTTCTTTATTTCTTCGGATATTTTCTCCGCTTCTGAAATGTCTTGGTTTTCTGGCTTTGTCTTGCTCTCAGTACTAGCAACTTTAGTATCAGCTGGTTTCCAATCCTGACCAGTCGTATTTTTATAATTACTTTTCAAGCTTAAGAGAACTTTCACTTCTTGATCAATAATGCTCTTGTCAGCTTTCAAGCTTTTTAAATTTCGTATTTTGTCACCCTGCTTCTTTATTTCTTCGGATATCTTCTCTGCTTCTGAAATTTCTTGGTTTTCTGGCTTTACCTTGCTTTCAGTAACTTTAATATCAACTAATTTCCAATCCTGATCGGTCGCATTTTTATAGTCACTTTTCAAGCTTAAGAGAACTTTTACTTCTTGATCAATAATGTTCTTGTCAGCTTTCGAGCTTTTTAAATTTCGTACTTTGTCGCCTTGCTTTTTTATTTCTTCGGATATTTTCTCCGCTTCCGAAATTTCTTGATTTTCTGACTTTATTTTGCTTTCAGTATTAGCAACTTTACTATCAGTTGCTTTCCAATCCCTACCAGTCACAATTTTATAGTCACTTTTTAAAGTCAAGAGAACCTTTACTTCTTGTTCAATAATACTCTTATCGGCTTTCGAACTTTTTAGATCTCGTACTTCGTCACTCTGCTTTTTTATCTTTTCGAATAGTAGCTTCGTTCTTGTTTTAAGATAAGCTCCAAAATCTTCTGTTGGTCCAGTTGGTCCATATGTCCAACGCCTTTTGTTAAACATACTTTCCTTTGCTATTCTAAGATATTCATATATGCTTTTTTGAATATCCACCATATACAAAATATATTCTTTTGTATGACCTTGTTTCTTATATCTTTCAAAGATTTCTTGTATTTCTGGATCTACCTTTTGATCTGAGTATACATTGCTTTCAGGTTCAGAAAGCTCAGGTTTCCAATCCTGACCATTCATCATTATCTTATAATTTTTTTTCAAGTCTGAAAGTATTTTCTCTTCTTGAACGATTTTACTCTTATCAGCTTTTAAATTCTTTAAAAATTGTACTTTATCGAATTGTGCCTTTATGGCTACAGACATGCATACTAATGGATCGTCGGTGTCTGGATCTTTAAATACCAAATTATAAACCGACAATAGCAATAACATTCTATAGAAATGCATATCCATTAATCTCTGAAAATAATCTTCTATATCAGTGTATACTTCGTCTGCATATTCTTCGTTTTTCTCTTTTAAGTATAGTGGATACAACATTGAATCTGTTGAAATTCTAAGCGTTCCATTAACTGCATCATAAGGTATCATTAGTCCTAATTCTTTCATAAGACTTTGAATTTTGTCCTTCCAAGAAGGATCTAATATTTTGGTTTTATCATATTTAACTATTGCTTCTTCTATTTTTTCTAAAGGATTTCTGTATATTATATCAAGAGTTTCCACATGTTGCACTTTACTTTCCTAAAAATATTTTTTTTTTACTTTTGGCAATGATAAACAATACACTTTGTAGTTACAAAATAATATAACTTTTCGTCATTTACATATAATAAATTATTAATATTATAAATTGTACATTTATTATTTATAAATAATAAGATAATAATAATTATAGAAAATAAGGTATACTGATTTTACCTGTTGATTATTAGATATCGCAGGTGTCATATAAGGTGTTGTCGTATGCCCATCAGGTATATGGAACAATACAATAGGTGGTTCCCGTGTTGAATAAGAACTAGATGCGTACGGAATATCACAAATAAAGAATCCTTTCCTCTGAAGTTGAATTATCTCTCCCTTCTTTACGCGTTTCAATTCTACTTCACCCAGCATTCGAATTTCTTTCTAAAATAAGAATTTTGATATGCAATTAACAATATGATTATCAGTTTATTCGTTTGTAAGTAAAAAAATTCTTTACTCTTGTATTTTTGGCAACAAAATTTTTAAAATCGTCGTCCTTGCCTAAAACCGGCACGCTCATAATGTGATCAAAATAAACAGCGTAACATTTTATTGGATTTGACTTTTCTGCATTTGAATCAGATGTAGGTAATGATTCAGCCAGCCAGGTGAGCTTCAAAGTATTTTTATAATTTTTGTCCTCTAGATTCAATCGTGCTTGCACATCTACTATATTGCCATCATATTTATTTATCTTTTGTATCATTATGTTACCCCAATTAATAAAGGTCGCATTCTGTCCTTCAATTAATCTTTCAGCATCTTCCTTTTCTATCAAAATTTTCGAGCCTACTCGCACTTGTTTGGTACCTCTAGATGAATCTTTAGGATGATTTTGCACAATCAACCACTCTTCCTTAACATCTATTACATTAACCGGTATCAGTTCATTATATTCCAATGCAGTATATCTAAAATTATAAATATTTTTAAAAATATCCATGTTACCATTCTATTATCAAATTCTTAATTACACTTTCATTACCTAATCGCAACTGGATCAATGACTTTCTTATTAAAAGCCCATATTTTGTCCCATTCCATAAAGACTACAGATTTGGAACTACCTTGTGCGATGATGAATTGTTTCAGACCCTCGACTGTCATTCCTCGTCTTAGAATGCCTCTCACTGTCGGAAAGCGTGGATCATCCCAGCCATCGACTAGACCTTCATTTACAAACCAAGTTAATTTTCGTTTAGATAAAACCGTATGAGTCATGTTTAACCGTGAATATTCCCAAATGTACGGGCGACGCAGTCCCAAAGCTTCGATTATCCAATAAAATTGAGCATCTCTATCGTGATACTCTGTTGTTCGTAGAGTGTGAGTAACATTCTCGATAACGTCAACAATTGGACAGGCAAAATCATACGTAGGATATATCCTA